TGCCTCCAGAAGCATGGAGGAACTCGAGATAGAAGATATTTGGTTACCCATCCAATGATCAACCATTGCGAAAGTTGCTTAACTTCAACGATCGCAACCGAACGCGCTAACCACCCGCGCCATCGAGATCCTGTCCTGCTCTTATTCTGGGTAAATAAGTAGGTAGCTACGTTAGGCACATAATTTCAGAATATTTATAACCTATGATTGCGACTTTCAACCATAGCCCGACATTATGCATTCACAACCGTGTAAAAATAATGGATATGCAACGCGAAATTTAGTTTTTAAACTACTGTGTACCTAGGTACTTTTTATTTATTGATTTGTTATAGAAAGGTACGTCGATTCGGCTGATTCTCATTACGATATATATTTTCATCGTATTAAATCACCTGGACATAACTAAAATTTACAATAACGTAATGAAAACAAATATAATTAAAGCAAACGGGCCGGTTTTTTGTCTTGTCACTACTCTGGTAAGTAAGTACCTTTAAGTTATTTTTAGTTAATACAAAAAATATCCGTTAAAGTGGTAATTAAGGGGCTGTTTTGCTATTAAAATTAAGGAATATTTCCTCAAGTTCGACTCTGCCTGATCTTTTTGTGTTCATTACTTTGTATTGTATTTTATAGCTTCCTAATATGCTTACTATATTTTATATCCCTTTATTTAGGTTGATTTATTTATTTTTACAATGCACTAGCCCGCTGTTTCTTCTATTCTTATGGTATCGTTTGATTTAACCAAAGGTTGCCTAGTAGAGATTGCTACCTTAGCGATAAGGCCGCCTTTTGTGTTAGCGTTCCTGTGTTTTACGTTTTTTGGGTAAAGGGCAATAAAGAATAAAATTCAAAATTCAATATCGTTTATTCAGTCTAGGCTATTACAAGCACTTGTGAATGTCGAAAAGCTACGCCATATTCATTCATACATTGCGAGCAGCGGCGCGAGTTTTGAAAATAGGTAGTACTTATCTTATGTGTTGTTTTGGCTGGTATTCTCCAACAGTAGGTAGGTATTACTGAATAACATTAACATATTCTATCATTGTAAATAGCTTTTAAGTAACCATTTTTTAAACTGAAGTTTCATTATTGGATAGCCTAATGTGCCCACCACACATTGTAAAATCCAATGTAAATAAATATAGCTGAAGGTTTTGTGCGAAGTATAGAAAATTAACCATGCTCAACAAGTGGTGTCAAGTTACGAAGAGAGTTGATGAGGAAGAAAAGTGTGCTGCTGCGGCCATCTCTTCCTTTCTTTAGCATGAACCCAATCCGTTACCCTGAATACACATCATCATCAGCCATCAGCACGGAGGGACTCGAGATAGAGGATTTTTGGTCACCTATCCAATGATCGACCATTGCGAAAGTTGCTTAACTTTAACGATCGCAGCCGAACGTGCTAACCACCTACGCCATCGAGCTCTCCTGTATACACATGGATATAACCTTTTTCATTAATAGAAACACAACTAGAGGCGTCTCATCCCTTGTAGCGCTCGTGTGCAATCATTAACTTAGCGTCCTCTAGTAAGCACACATTCAAAATGTAGGTGGCGAGTGATGTTCGGCGCCCCCTGAGACCGCTGCGCCCGTGTGCACCATCGGTAAAACCACCTCTGAATACCAAAAATAGTAGTATTATTTTATACCGGATAAGTCGCTTCTGTCCAATACACCAAAACTTAAAAACTTAACTTCTTTACTATACCTATTAGCATAGCTTCCTGAATACCCTTAACAAGATTCAAGATTGTAGCTGTACTTTCCAAATTGATTTTGCAAACAAGGAAATAAGATAATGTAATTTATACTTGTCCATCAACATCTTCTCCATAAATCCACTATGCCTTACTTCTAATAACATTATAACAAAAATTTAAAAAAACGAGCGAGCGAGTCGCGTATGATGTATAACATTTAAAACCTCACCTTACGTTAGTAAAAAAAGGTAAATTTAAAAAATCAAAAAACCCGACTGCTTAATTATTCTTCAAATAAAAACTGAAAAGAAAAAAACAAGTCCAGTAGTCTATAATTCTGTTAATAAGGAACAAAGCTACTTTAACAGTCGGGACCCACTGTTGAAAAATATTATGTATTCTTGAATATCTAATGGGTCCCGACTGTTAAAGTAGCTTTGTTCCTTATTAACAGAATTATAGACTACTGGACTTGTTTTTTTCTTTTCAGTTTTTATTTGAAGAATAATTAAGCAGTCGGGTTTTTTGATTTTTTAAATTTACCTTTTTTATTTCACATTTTTTAGTTAGTATTTTAATACGGTATATACCGTAGTCTTGTTACTTCAGTAAGGGAATTAATATCGCGGGCATTATTAAGTACCTTGCGTCGGTCTAAAAGATTGATTTATTAAGACATATAAAGACTTTACCAGCGGGGTCAAGGTTACAGATGGGCCACAATTTTCGCAAAAATGTGTGAAGTTAGATCAAGTCGTTACATAAATATCTCTTATGTATGTAAATTTTATAGTAAACTAGCACTTCCACAAAAAGTCATCTTTTGTTTATGTTTTTTTGAATAGTTTAGCAGTTAATATAAAATTCATTTACTTTTATTCGTCGACTATTTAAAATTGGCAGTGGCTGCATTGTCATGTCAATGCCGGACGTCTAAGATTGTGATATACACAAATTCAGTGTCAGTCCCTAGTCTCATAATTTGATATACCTACATAATTCACAGAAACCCAATATGTAGATGCCAGAAGTTAACTTCAAATATTTTTAATCACCCTATACACAATACCAATCAATGACGTTTATGTCGCAGGTTGAAGAAAGAAGTAATTCCCGTCTGTTGTTTTGGACAATGGTGGCAACTGCCTTAGATCACTAAATTAAATAATTATGCAATCACCAAAGCAAAGTTTACAATATTTGATTAAACTAAAGGCGCATAATAAAATTTCACATTTAACAGGTCAAAGACTTTGTGTTCGACCCTTTTTTATTGGTAGTGTAAAGCTCGAATGAAGAGCACTCCCAGACTCCCAGTAGTGCAATCATGGCAATTATTTTCCAATTTTTTTTTGTTATAAAAATACCGAATAACGTATCACTGTTAAGCACAAATGCTAAGTAACTTTTACAAATATAATCAAATAAACCTATTACTTACTTTATTTTTAAATCTTTTTCATCAATTAAATACTTATCCTAACTATCTATACTAATATTATAAAGAGGCAAGATTTCTATGTTTGTAACAAATAATCTGTCAAACTACTGAACCGGTTTCAAATATTAATTCATCATAAGGTAGCTACATTATTTATTATAACATTTTTCTTTATTTAAATACATTTTGTCTGAGTGAAATAGGCTATATTTTATCCCGATAAATAAATTTCGCCCGTACAGTGCCCGGGTGGATCACTAGTAAGTATAATATAATATTATAGATGCGAAAGTGAGTTTGTTTGTTGCGCTTCCGTGCCCTAATAGCTAAATCGAATATAATGAATTCCCATATAGAAGTAGATGGGAACTTTGTTCTTAGCTACAACATCGCAATACTTATAGGCGTAGGGTGATGAAAGGGGTGATTTACCTTTAAAAATCTACATTATTTACTTTGAATTTTGCAGAATTATTACAAAACCAATATTATCGCGAGCTGATTAATAAATACAGGGATTCCAATAAGTATGTACTTACTAGCGAAAAATGGGTTATTTGTCATTATATTAAGTAAACCTTTTTTGTAACCTTAAGTAATATCGTTAAAAAAATGAAATCAGTAAAATTCTGAGTTTTTCATTAAAATTCAATAATCATAAATACCTATTATGATAATATATTTTTCATCATTTAATAAGGAGGAACTGTATCACAGTTTTAATGTTAGTACTTCCTATAGGATCAGATACTGCGAAAACCCTTTTTTTTTCTTTTACATAGTACACCGCGCTATCACTTTGTCATCGTTGTAACTTTTTAAATATTTGTTGAAATGACATAGTGTAAAAAGCAAAGTTTATCGTCTTTAAATATCAAAAGCGATTAAAGTATTTGTTTTGATAAAAAATGATTTGTTAATACAAAATGTGCATTTTGGAAATAGATATCAAATAATATTTTAGTTTTGATTCACTATTTTAGCGGTAATGACTTACACATTAAAAATAGATATATGGTGTCACGGACTTTTTTTTAGAACTATTTAAGAGATACATTTTCACTCTACATTACATTCATGTAACTTTTATTGTTTTTGCAGTGCAGGCCAAAATGGCTCTCAGATGGGAGATATTTTTCCGTCTTATGTGACACTTATTGTTATATATTGGCCAATTCACTCAATAACTACATAAATTATTATATATATGTAATTATCATATATGAGCTATATTACTGTTAAGTTTCATTAAAATCCATTCAGTATTTTTAGGTGAAAGAGTAACAAAGATCCATACAAACGTAAGATTGAAATTAAAAGCGTAAGTGGTTAATATACAACTTTAAAGCGTTGTAGATCCTAAACAATCATATAAAATGAAAAATGGTGTTAGGAACCTAAATATGATTTTTGATTATCTAGACAGTGATACCCCACTCGACATATTTTGTCAACTTTTTTTTTTTACTTCGTCACAATATGGCGCCTAATTTTGCCCATACTGAATTTTGATTACTATCATATCTTTAGTAGCACTCCCATGATTGAGACGAATCGATTGATGTATGAATCATCAAAATCGGTCCAGTCGTTTGGTCTCTAGTGTGCCACAAAGGAACAAACATACATATATAGACTGTTAAACACATAACCCTGTCTGCGCGTCGCGCTTCGCGCTCCTGCATTGCGCAGCCGGGTAAAAAAGAAATAAAACCTACTACAAAAGGAATAAAAATGGACTGGAGGCGTTACTTACTAAAGGTCTCTAGAGTAATGACTGCACACAAGCACTATATGGGTTGTAGATGTCTGGTTAGTGCTGACTTCCTAGATTGTAGTACCTTATTTTCACCGGGAGTTGCCTTAAGCCCGTCGCACGCGTGTGTGCGTCTGTAACGCACGCAGTCTAGGTCGTATTGATATGAACGGGGAAACACGTCTTGATGTGCTGAAAAACAATTCAAGTTTTAATAGGTAGGTACCCAAATTATTTCGTACGGTACGATGACCATTATCCGGTGTCCGTTGTTGCAACTCTCAATTGCGAACGAACATTGCAACCTACCTATTTGCATACGCAAAAGTTGGCGCCTGATACTGTAATTTCCGTGTAAGTGCTTCCACAAAAAAAGCTGCGTTGCGATGCATCGTCGCATTGCAGAAACTTGCGATGCAAAATGCTGCGATACGATTTTGTGCGGCAAAGCTTTGGTCAGGGTGACCATTTTTTCAACAATAGTCAGTCGTATTGGTAGTGTTTTCGTAATAATCACATGGATCGCAAAAAGATTGTTGCACTGCTGTTTTCGTTAAATATATATAGAAGAAAAAGAAGATTTTGGGTTTATCCATTTATTGCGATTATGATGCTGATCGGAACTATTTTACTCGAAAATTTTGAAAACAGTAGAAGTTTTTTTTTATTATTTTATAATGAGCATATCTTAATTTGACGAGCTTTTATTTTTATCACAATGTCTACAAAAACGATGGTACAAGGGAAGTCTCAAAGCGGTACATACAATATACCTAGTCCAAGCATAATTTCTGTTAATGAAAACGCATTATTTTTAAAATTAAGTTACCTAATACTATTATAATTTATACCTACATTACCAATTTTCCAATTTAATTGTTTTCGTCTTACGAATTTTCGATCAGGCCACGTGTCCTGACGCGACTTTAACATTTTTTACCCTACAAAAAAGGTATACAATGCGGTGTAACGAAGTTTTAACTACAAAATTTGCGGTATTCCACGAGAAATACCAACTTCTAGAACCCCCCTTGTACATGGGTCATTGTTTTCGACGAACTTCAGTCACACTTTTGGCCGATTCAGGAGCTGATCTCGTGTCCCTTAAGCGCCATGGAGGCTGGAAGTACAATGGGGTTGTAAAGGGATTCATAGAGGATTCCATCCAACATAAGTCTAAAATATGTAAAGGCATCGCAGGAGCCATTACACTGAAAAAGTTTCAGCCAGATATTTGGTCTGGCCCTTCTAAATCAAAAGCGAGTCGATACGAATTACCTAACCATCGCCCTCTCTCGCCAACATTTACGCCAAGGCAATCCGATGAATGGATACAACTATTAAGTATGACAGATAGTTTACCAAAAAACAGTACACAAGTCTAAAAAAACTGTAAAGTTAACGATGTATAGTATAATATACAAAATCACACTTATAAATTAAAATAAATATGATTTTATGTTATAAATTTAATATATACGTTTTATATCGTTGGCGGATGGACTACTGTAATATAAGTATGTGCCAATAGAAGCCAAAATAAAAAAAAGAGTGACATTTGTGAACATTACATTTTGTGCGATGAGTGCTAGCTTGACCTTTTGTGCAATCCTGCATGAAGAAGATGAGTTGGTATCAAGCAATTCAAATATAAGGTAGTTAATTATATGAGCTTTCAGATATGAAGACGTACTTTGGAATTCATAAAAGTAGAAGGACACTTTATGAACTTTATAATGAAAGAAATTGTAACACTAGTCAAAAATTTAAACAGCATGTTCGTAACTATTCTAAATTGATTAAAAAAGTATGCCGCTTAGCAAAATCAAATTACTTAAGTTCAAAGATTAAGAACAGTAATGACAAAATCAAAACGACATGGAATATTATTAACGATGAAACTGGAAAATCCAAAACTCGCAATAATAATTATAACTTAAATATTGATAATAAAAGGGTTACTTCAGATATTGAAGTTGCTACAGCTTTCGAAAATTTCTTTACTGATATTCCAGTTTCAACTACTAAATCTTTAAACTGTTCCCCCATTGCTGTCGAATCAATCTTAAGAGAAAACGTAAACCTTGTACTAGTCATTTTCATTTTAAACATGTTGACTTTCAAGATGTAATTAAAACGTTTCACCAATTAAATAAAAAGAAAACCGCGAATCTGTGGGGCAATTCCGTTGATGTTTCTAAATCGGTAATTGAAACAATAGCTCCTATTCTAGCTAGCATATTTAATTATTGTGTTGACTGTGGTGTTTTTCCTGACCTCATGAAATACAGTAAAATAACTCCTTTGCATGAAACGGGAAGTACATCAGACCCCACAAACTTTAGACCAATTTCTGTGCTACCCACCTTTAGTAAAATTTTCGAAAAAATCATGTTAGATCAAATGCAATCACATTTTAATAATATAATATACTTCACTGTAAACAATTTGGTTTTACACGGGGTCGTTCAACAACCGATGCCGGTGTTGAACTTATACAACAAATTTTTGACGCCTGGGAGAACTCGCAGGACGCTCTAGGTGTGTTTTGCGACTTGCCCAAGGCTTTTGATTGCGTTTTTCATGAAACATTACTCAGGAAACTCCACCACTATGGATTTAGAGATACTGATCTGGATCTTATTGCGTCACACTTGATGGATAGGATTCAGAGGGTTGACATTAATGGCAATAAGTCTGCGGGTTCGCCGGTTAAAATGGGTGGTCCGCAGGGCTCAATCCTTGGTCCTTTCTTATTTTTAATTTATATTAATGACTTGCCTTACTATGTTAGAGATAAGCATGAGATAGTATTGTTCGCGGATGATACATCACTTTTATTTAAACTCAAACGTAAGGAAACAGTTATTGACGACGTGAACAGTTGTATCTCTAAGGTAGACCACTGGTTTAATGTTAATATTTTATTACTAAATGAAGGAAAAACGAAATGTATGAAATTTGTATTACCTAATGTAAAACAGGTAAAAACCAGTGTGAATGTAAAGGATAGGAATATGGGCCTTGTAGACACCACAGTATTCTTAGGGATTACTTTAGATTCTAAGCTTCAAGGGGCCCACATATTGATAAATTGTCAAATAGACTTAGCTCTGCAGCATATGCCGTAATGAAGATACGCCAGTTAACAGATGTAGATCCGGCCAGATTAGTGTACTTTAGTTATTTCCATAGTGTAATGTCGTACGGAATTTTATTGTGGGGAAACGCCGCCGACATTCAAACTATTTTTGTGCTGCAGAAGAGAGCTATTCGATCAATTTATAATCTTAAAGTTAAGGATTCCTTAAGAGATAGGTTTAAAGAATTTGGTATAATGACGGTCGCATCACAATACATATACGAAAATTTATTACTTGTAAGAAAAAATATTAATTTGTTTCTTAAAAACAGTGATGTTCACACACTTAATACAAGAGACAAAAATAAACTAACTTTACCTGCTACTAGGCTTCATCATCATCATCATCATCATCAGCCTCTTAATGTCCCCACTGCTGGGGCACAGGCCTTCCCTATGGATGGAATAGGGAGATTGGGCCACGACCCACCACGCGGGCCCAGTGCGGATTGGCGGGTGCTAACGACTGCAGATGCAGCCGGGACCAACGGCTTAACGTGCCTTCCGAAGCACGGAGGAACTCGAGATAGAAATTTTTGGTCACCCATCCAATGACCGACCACTGCGAAAGTTGCTTAACTGTAACGATCGCAGCCGAACGCGCTAACCACCTGCGCCATCGAGCTCCTCTCATGTCTTGTCAGCCTAGATTTATAAAACATTCCGTGAATATCAATGTAAATAAATATTAAAAAAATATTCTAACCAAGACGATTTTAAAATTGTGTTGTATAGTGGCAAAGATGACACCGAACTGCCAAAATATTAACAGACTATATTGCTCTTTATTTTATTTTTTTAAGGGACAGTTCAGTAACTGCTTTCGGTTAAAAAAGAAATCTTGGTGTATTGTAATTTTTCGTTAGCATTTTTTTATTTTGAATGTATAGTGTACTATACAAAGGGACTCCAGCAACGTCACTAAAAATTTTCTTAATTATACCTTAGTATTATTTGTTATAATTTAAAGACTAATCTGTATTACTTAGCCATCATAATGTAGTAGTTAAAACCTAAACTGTAATAAAAGTATCTTGTGATTGTAAAACATTTTTTTTTTGCATTTAGTCATTTCCTTGCTGAGGTGGGATGAAAAATTACGTGTTGCACTCGAGTGCAAAGATTTTTCACCACACACTCTTTTGATTCCCTCGCTACCGCTCAGGATTATTTTTTTTCTAAAATTCAATAACCAAGAGGCAGTTCAAAATGTCTTTCAAGAATTTGTCGCCTCCCGTCCGTACTGTTACGCGGATAATCGCGAATGGTTTTTTTAAAAAAAATAATATTTTAATCACACTTAAACTTTATTTTAAGAACAATAGAAATATATAGATTTATCGGATAAAGACGTTAAAACGATCTTTAGGCAACCGTACTGAATGGAGGATGGACACGGACTGTCGGATGCTAACCGAGGAGACTAGGGCTTGAGTTCTATAGTGCTGACCAGACATAATGGTCAGTAGGAGCAGCAATATACCTAACATATATCAGATATAACACCTCCCCCTTTAAGAGGAGACTTGGGGTTGACTCTAAGTCTCCGTTAGATTTTAGTTCTGAGAGGGGCAATAGGGCTGGTCATTTCTATTTCAGGATTGTCAGGGTCTTGACTGTCTGTTTTTGATGCTTTAGGAGCAGATTGAGATAAGGGATTATTTAGATTAAATTTAAATTGAAAAGGACGGTTGCTGCCAGATCTGCAAATGATTTTCTTAACAATAAAATAAGCAATTATAAAAACGATAAGTATAAACAATAATATGATAAGAATGGAATAATGTGTCCCATATTTCACAATATGTGGATTTATAGGATGTTCAATAGATTTTAAATCGTCTAGAAGTAATTTAATTTTATTTTTGTTTTCAGAATTGAAATCATCCAAGTCTATGTCATGCAAATGAACAGGAGACACATTATTTACTACAACATTTAACTTATCTAAGTTACAACAAGTGTCGTTTATTAATTTAAAATCTGGTATATGGTTAATGGGCGAAGTGATATTTAGAATATTATATTTAGGGACTAATGTAGTGCTTTT